TTCTTGCACACATATTACATGAGGTCTATCTGCTAAATCTGAGACAAAACTCTTGAATTCCTGTCCATTTGCTATAAGGCTCCTGGAGTTCCATTGCAATATAGCTAATATCATAAAGAGCCACCAACCCATGTCTGCGAGCTTGTGCTTCCTGCCACTATCATTTCTTCCACTACCTCACAGCTAAGCCCTTTTATTCCTAAATACTTTTCCGCTGATTTAACTATTATTTTGATATTTTCTGTCTTCCTGTCTGTCTGTGCCGAGCAATTTATCACCTCAACCATAAACAACACAAATTCATTTTTGCCCATAACTAACAAATCCTTCTTTGCCTCAATTTTCTCACACTTCCCACAAGACCTACTTTTATTTTCTTTGAGTTCTGGTTTATAGGCTTCCTTTTCCTTAGACACTTTCTTTACAGCTTCTGCATATGTTATTCCTTGCAGCGATCTCACTCGCTGCACCTCCATTGCCCTCTTGCTAGCTTCACATTCACGGTAGGCTGAACTGTGCTCCCCACCACAGTTACAGCATTTCAGCTTTACTCCTTCTCCACATTCCCCATACTCATGCTCGCCTGAACACCTACCACATCTTTGTTTACCCTTACACACTGCTGCTACATGGCCATATCTTTGGCACTTAAAACATCTCAGTGGGGGAGGGATGTATGGCCTGACCTCATAGCTCATGTAACCTATGTATAACTTACTTGGAAGTCTTGCTTCATCAAACTTAATCATAACAGACAGGCTATCGCACTTTTTTTTAACCCCGTTTCTGGTTGTTCTAAGGCGTTTTACCTCCAGCACTTTTGCCCCTGTTACACTGTCTCTGATTTGATCTTCTGTGACATTTACCGGTATTCCTGTGATAACTCCTCGAATCAACGCCTTGTTTCCAATCAAGATGCACTTTATTTTCTTGCCATCTATTCTATTCAGTTCTATGGCTTTCTCTTGTTGCGTTTTATTCCTACAAAAAATCAGCAGCGCTCCACTTCTTAATACTTTTGTATTTTTGACCTTGCCTAACAATTTGTTTATCGACTTTGTTAAATGAATCGGATTCCACTCACCAAATGACGACCCCTCCTGAGATAGTTTCATGATCACTTTATATTCTTCTTCTTGTTGTTCACTATCTGTTTCATCTATATTAGATGTTACTTTCTCCTTTTTTCCGTTTTCTTGATCGCATTACATTCCAAACATTCCTATCTCTCCCGCCCTCTTCTTCAAATCCCATCTCACTTCCTGTCTCCTCACTTCCTTCCGCCATCTCCTGCCCAGTCACAGTCTAGCTGTTGCCAACCCTAATCATATGTCATATGCATAGACCTTATAAAAACATGGACGTAGTGTCTGTGACGTCACCGGTAGGGTTTTTGAAGCTCAAAAGTGGGCGGAGGCGGCCGTCGCCATCTTGGCAGCGCGTCACTCCCGGATAATCGAAGATGGGCAAAGAGGCGGGAGCTGGTTGTTTAAACCGCGCCCACCTAGCTCGATGGTGGTAACAGCAGTGGCAATCCACCTGTCACTCAAGTGGCCACGCCCTTAATTATGCAGAATTTTAAGGCTTAATATAATTTAAACGGATGAGTTATAAAAAAAATGTACCCCCCTCACAGTTGTCATGAAGGGGAAAATTAGCTATATAGACCAAAATAATTTTTTGAACCAGGCTGTAAACGTTTTTTTCTGCTGTAAAGTTAGGCATTTTAACATGGGAAGTCTATGGGATCCCTTTTGCAGTCAGCCTCTAGCGGCCAGTTGACGAATTACAGTTTAAGTAACCTCCTTGTTGGCTGTGAGGGGGGGCATTTTTTTATAACTAATCCGTTTAAATTATATTAAGCCTTAAAGTTCTGCATAATTAAGGGCGTGGCCACTTGAGTGACAGGTGGATTGCCGCTGCTGTCACCACCATCGAGCTAGGTGGGCGTGGTTTCAACAACCAGCTCCCGCCTCTTTGCCCATCTTCGATTATCCGGGAGTGAGGCGCGGTGAGACGGCATCTAACATTTTGAAAATACGAACACTTTCATGAATCTGAAAATTTAAGTCAGAACAGCTTTACGAACGATTTACACAAAAAATTGTTCTGCTTGTGTTTCATGAATGAGGCCCATTGTATCTAATCTGTTGATGTAATAATACACTTTGAAGAAGTTTGTGGACAGAGATTTGACTCCATGTTTATTACTCTTCCCATGGGCCCATGCATTCCTGAATGATAGCCTACAGGGACTGAGAATATTCTGATGGCACCGAAAAATATAGTTAACTTAGAATTCTTTAAAGAATTGTTCTTATACTGTCCACAATAAACCGATCGCATTTTCGTGCCATGAATTTTGACAGAGTGGGGTTTCCTCGTATTGTTATAAACAATACGGGAAGATTTAATGATTTTCTAATGAGATGAGAGAATTGGTAATGTGACGTTCTTGCAAGGCACTAAAACAAATAAACAGCTAAATACCAATTATTTTAATTGTCTCTGTCAGTTGATCTGGACAGGATGGATGAAACAGCAGAGTAGTATATTTCAGCAAATTGCTTTATTACAAATTCAACTAATGGCTATTTGCCATTATTTGTGAAAAAAAAATGTTTAAAACTTAATTGTGCTGTGTGTAATATACTGTGCAACTAAAATAGGCTATACCGTTGTAAAAACAAATACAACTAAACAAACATTTAGGTGAGATAATAAAACCGAAGTCTAAAAATTGTCACGATCACTCTGGGAGGAACGAGGAGACGCAGGAGAATACTTTGATTGAGACTTTAATCCAACAAACAAAGGTATACAAACACAGGAACTCAGGAATGACATATAGCAGCCGACGCTAGACACAGGGAAACACAGGGCTTAAGTAGCCAAGGAAACTAATGAGGGAACACCTGGAATTAATGAACATGACGATGTGAGGGAAAACACTGCTGGGACCAAATTAACACAATGAAGACAGGAACAGGAAACAAGACCAAAAAAGGAAAACAGGAACTAAGACAGGGGTAAAACAAGGAAACACAAGTCCACAACACTGACAAAAATGACCCTCCCCCACACACAATACCATCTAGTCACCTAAGAGGGGGATTCCCCTCCATTTTCTCTGCAGCCACACTTGCTGCATTTGTGCCCAAAGACTACATCTAAGTTTTGATATTCTAAATATATTTGTTCTATGGGATTCAAGTTTAACTAGTAAATACCAAAAAGTGTTTATACAGTAGCTAGCTAGCCAGTAAATCAAGATATGAAAAATCTAAGTAAGTTAGCACTATTTCATTGACAATTTATGAGGTGCTAGCTAGCTCAAGCTGTGATGTTCTTACTGCTAGCCAGTTTTCTGTTATCATACAGAACTACAGTACTGGTCAAACGTTTGGACACATTTCTATTTTTAATGTTTTTAGACATTGCAAATCTTTGGCTCATCAAGCCTTCATTTATTTTATCAAAAATGCAGAACAGTAATATTGCGCAGTATTACCGGTATTACAATTTAAAATAATGGTTTTCTGTTTTAATATACTTTAAAACAATGTATATCTGTGATGCAAAGCTGACCCGACCCGACATGAGGGAAAACACTGCTGGAACCAAATTAACACAATGAAGACAGGAACAGGAAACAAGACCAAAAAAGGAAAACAGGAACTAAGACAGGGGTAAAACAAGGAAATATAAGTCCACAACACTGACATTACTCCCTCGCCCTCAATACAGGATGGGTGCCCTCGAGGCTGGTACAGGACGGAGACACGGGAGGCCTCCAGGGCGGATCAGGGAGCTCAGGGGCCCATGGCGGGACAGGCAGGAGCAGGTAGACTAGGAAGCCTTGGCGGAGCAGGCAGACTAAGAAGCCATGGCGGAGCAGGCAGTTCAGGAGGCCATGGCGGAGCAGGGAGCTCGGGGAGCCATGGTGGAACAGGGAATGCAGAAGACCATGGCTGGACGGCCTCCGTGGCCTTGGCCTCGCCACTCTGCCCGGCCACTACCGATGGACCCATACTACCCCCCCACCCCAAAAAAAAATCCTTGGGGAGAATTTCCTCTTTTGAGGCCCTCCATAGCCCTAACTCGGGAACAGTGGCCCTCCCTGGGCTTGACTTGAGGACTGGAGCTCTCCTTGGACTGGACATAGGAACTAGAGCCCTTTCTGTGCTACACTCGGGGATTGGAGCCTTCCCTGGGCTGAACTCGGGGACTGGACCCTCTCTGGGCTAAACTCGGGGACAAGAGCCCTCACTGGGCTAAACTCGGGTACAGGAGCCCTCACTGGGCTAAACTCAGGGACAGGAGTCCTCACTGGGCTAAACTCGGGAACAGGAGCCCTCCGTGGTCTATACTCTGGAACTGGGGTCCTCCGTGGGCTAAACTCAGGAACAGGAGCCCTCCATGGGCTATACTCAGGAACTGGAGCACTCCGTGGGCTGTACTCGGGAACTGGAGCCCTCCGTGGGCTATACTCGTGAACAGGAGCCCTCCGTGGGCTAAACTCGGGAGCAGGAGCCCACTCTGGGCTGGATTCGGGGACTGGGAAGCACTTACGAGGAGCTGGCACTGGAGCGAACTCAGGGGATGGAGCCGACACTGGGGCGAGCTTTGGGGCTGGGATGAGGGCTGTGAACCGTCTTTTCCTCCTCATCCTCCTCCCTTCGTTACGGGTGAATTGGGCGGCCGACGGGCTTGGGCGCTGAACGGCCGGCGGACTTGAGAGAACCACGGCCGGCGAAGGGGTTCCGGATCGGGGTCGGATACTTTCCAGACACCGGATGACCGCCTCCTTCCAGTCGAGGTTGGTGGTGTCTGGGAGCTCCATGGACATGTTATGTTATCCTGAGCTGGAACAGAGTCAAGAGGGTTTCCCCATCGAGGGAGCTGGCGAGGGCGAGCGGCAGGAACGCCCTCGCGTAGTTGATAGGGTCGGGGCTTGCCTGAGCCACAGCGATGAACATTGCTCGTTCCTCCATTTGTGTGGGGAGAAACGAACGGGAAAAAACAAAACACCTTTCAAAAAACGAAAAACAAACCAGATAGAAGGGCGCCGCTTACTGTCACGATCACTCTGGGAGGCGGCAGGAACGCCCTCGCGTAGTTGATAGGGTCGGGGCTTGCCTGAGCCACGGCGATGAACATTGCTCGTTCCTCCATTTGTGTGGGGAGAAACGAACGGGAAAAAACAAAACACCTTTCAAAAAACGAAAAACAAACACAGATAGAAGGGCGCCGCTTACTGTCACGATCACTCTGGGAGGAACGAGGAGACGCAGGAGAATACTTCGATTGAGACTTTAATCTAGTGATGGGACGATTGATACCGAGGCACCGATGCTCCGACGCAGCTTTCAAAGCGCTATTGTATCACACACTGTGCCAATGCTTGTATCGAAATGATAATACCACGTGATTGATGACGTTTGAAGCTTTGAATGTCATGTAGTATCGGAAGGTCGGGACAGCTGGTTTGAAAAAAATCAGAGCTTCGCATGATTCTTGTGTTTGACTTTACATTGACTTGGTTGTGAGTGTGTGTGTACACTTAATTGGGATTCAGTAGAATAGTTTAGAATAACCTCAACACCAGACAGAAACTGAATGCACGTCACACCTCTATTGCATTTTATCATGTTCTAGCTGGGGTCTCAGAGACTCCGAAAAGCTTACCCAAAATATTTTTGCTACTACTCACATCAATTATTAATTATAAATCACACACTTGTATATTTTATATTATTGATCAATATGTGAATCCATTGACCGGACTATGCACGACACGAGTTTTTCAAACCGTCCTCTGCTCCGTGATGTTTCGTTAGATAGGCTGGAGAAACAGAGTCTGACTACCAGATGTCGCTAATGCGCACTGTGTTAAAAAGCTTTGAGTAATGAACCGTTTTTCGGCACAATTTGATGAAAGCTTCAAACGGTTCAGAAAGCCTTGGTTTTCCCATCACTACTTTAATCCAACAAACAAAGGTATACAAACTCAGGAATGACATATAACAGCCGACGCTAGACACAGGAAAACACAGGGCTTAAGTAGACAAGGAAACTAATGAGGGAACACCTGGAATTAATGAACATGACGACATGAGGGAAAACACTGCTGGAACCAAATTAACACAATGAAGACAGGAACAGGAAACAAGACCAAAAAAGGAAAACAGGAACTAAGACAGGGGTAAAACAAGGAAACACAAGTCCACAACACTGACAAAAATGACCCTCCCCCACACACAATACCATCTAGTCACCTAAGAGGGGGATTCCCCTCCATTTTCTCTGCAGCC